TTACCCGCAACAAGCATTGCATTTTTACACGGACAGAAGCAAGAGAAGAAAATGCGGTTACCCCCTCTCTCTCTCTTTTTTTTTTTGCTCTGATCTCAGCTTCTCTGATCTCAGTGCAGATCAAGATAACCAGTGACTACGTATGAGAGTTAAATGTGTCTGGTATACACGTGTTTGTGCAGCTATGGATCAGTCGTATTCTGATCCGCTCCTCCAGAACTGCATCATAAATCACAAGGTCACCATGAGCCTGTGGGACTGGAGGAAACTTCAACGTTAAACTGGGATGATATTTCACTTCAGCCTCTTCCTGCTGCACTATTCCCCAAATGCCCACTACCAAGTCAAGAATGCTTTATCATGACAACGGCACATCAGTGCTGATTTGAAAGCTGCGGATGAGACCGGAACATCTGTCTTTGGCTGACAGAGCTCAGTAGACGTGAGCGTAGGCATGGATGGAAGGAGGGATGCTTTAATAACTTTACATGGGTAGACACTGGATATCTTTTGCAGATGCTAATCATTTCACAGTGTGAGACGCTCATAAAACAATGTAAATAAATAAGTGCGAGTGGAACTATTTAGTCTCAAAAACTCTTTTTTTTTCTACGGATAACCAAGAAACACTAGTGACAACTTTACAGACACACTGTTTGTAAAAATGTGTGGAAATCTGACCTTTTGTTTTTACATAAGAAAACTGACTGAACTTAGACACCAAGCGTATTTCATATACCTAATAGCAATTTTCAAAATGTGAGCTACGCCATGTAAATGTATTCTTTTTTTGTTGTTGTAATAATTAATGATGTAATCGCTACTATCAGCAATCACATTACACTAAGATATAAAAAACTGATTCTACAAAACTGATTGGACTGCACTTCACAGTGCAAATGGCCTAATGATCCAAAGCATACCGCAAAAGCAACTCCCGAGCTTCTCGAGGCAAAAAGACCAAGTCTGTCACTTGATGTCAACCCTATAGAGCAGAGGAGTCTTTTTATTTGCTGAAGATAAAACTGAAGCAAAAAGACTTGCAAACATGCAGCAACCAAAGGAAACTGCAGCAAAGGCCCGGCAGAGCATCTCAGGGACGAAACACAGCATTTGGTGATGTTCATGGGTTCCAGACTTCAGGCAGTTATTAACTGCAAAGGGTTTACTTTGAAGCCTTAACAACAATTACTCAATTACTTTTGAGCCTCTGAAAATGGGGACTTTGTAAACACTTTGTAGACAGCTCATTCAAAATGTTCTGTTACTGTCATATCATATTTAAGTATAAAAATAACCTTTGTGTTTCTGCCATTTGTGTTTGGCAGTAGCCGTGTTTATGTGGATGAATATATTTGATGGATTGTGGACAACTTAGGCAAAACAGGGACAGCGTTACAACCTGGAGTCAGACATTTTTACGTCCCGTGTGCTTCTCACAGAGCCATGATATCAGACGGGAGAAAGCTGTAAAGGATGTGCAGGGTCAGCGCAGTGTCAGGGGGGACTCTGGGTTTCTCTACTTGGTAAAGCCCAGAGAGATGTGTGAATAAGTGAGATGTTACAGACTGATGAAATTCCCAGAGAGCCCACGATGGATAATGTGATCCCACCACAGTGATGCAGAAAACAGATGGAGAGGGCTGCCTTCAAATTTCTCTTTCACCCTTGTCTTTTACACATCCACGAACACACACACACAACTGTAGCTCATACCCAAACCTTCTGAGAGACGCAGTGTACACATATATACGCTCATCGCACACACCTGTCAAAGACATGAGATATATGGCTCTCTGAGGGGAAATCCATTGAGTCTATCTTGTAAAATATTGTGATTTTTCTCACTCTCGTATATATTTCTTCACCCGGACAGTTTTCCCTGTCTCATAAAAAGTTTAAAATAAATGTCCTTATGCTCGCTGCTTAGGACAAACATGTCTGTCTTCTACTTAGAGCAACACAGGACTTTTCATAGGGTTGCACTCTAAATTCACAACATCTGTTTTCAAGTAAATTATGTAAATTGTGGTGTCAGATCTAAGGCCTAACAATTAGGCTTTGGTATTTTGTCCCACTGACCAACCAATAAACCCTGACTGGCTCAAACAGGGGATGTTTCTTCTGTTATCTGAAAGTGCCTTTTAATAGCACTGGGCGACAGGCGTCCCTCAGGCCCCTGCTGACAGAGTCAACACAACACACTGCTGCTTTGCAGGTCATAAACACTCTGTTGACAGTGCTTGGAAGCTTATTATCCTCACAGCAAAGGACAACATGCTGAATGTACCAACTCCAAACAGTCCCAGCCTGGACTTTAGAGCTCAAAGTCTTTGTAAGACAGTCACGTGCCATTTCCCTACCTTTTCAACCTCGGTCAGGCTCAGGAAACTTGATTGCATAAAGTGTAAACTACAGTGGCTGTATGCTCATTAAAAAGTAATCGGAAATTGGCTAAATGTGTTGTAATCTATTGGTATTTGGAATAAACGCTGATGTGAGCCAGGAAACAAGCCGCATATCAGTTAAATGTGGGCCAGAGGTCAGAGCTGCTTTGTGTGCTTAATGTTTCTGCTGCTTCTGCGCTCAGTGAGCAGCTATCTGGAGCTGCTGTGGCTCAACAGCGTGGAGCTGGCAGCTCCGTACAGACAAGTGAGTGTATCCCCCAGGGGGCCAGAGACAGCCGAACCCTCAGTGCATGAGAAGTGTCTGTGCTGTCAGCTTTGGTTCCCAGCGTGGCCTCTCCTCCTTGGTTGCCCCACCCGCCCCCATCGAGGCCCTCCATGGCCCTTTGTGTGTGGACCGTGCTCCCTGTGGACTAGCCGCTCTCTGGCCTTTCACATGCGACTGTGTCCAATCACCTCGTTTCCCCCCCCTCAACATCAGGAGTCTCTGTCTCCATCTCCAACCAGTGGCTGACCCTGAGAGAGAGAGGCTGTCATTAGTGAGCTGAATACCTGCCTGAAGGAAAATTAATCATTTGTGGAAAAAAGATGAGGAAAAAAGAAAAGAAAAGCGGATAGCTCTAGCTAATAACATTGACTTCATAAAGGTTTATAAGGTTCAACAGATTATGGTTATTATTGGTTAATAAATTGTGTATAACTACTTCAAATCGCTATATAAGCAAATAAAGAAACAAGCTTTTGGCTGTAATAAACCCTAATGTGCTTTTGGCTGTAATAAACCCTTCTTCTGCCAATTACATTTATTTAACGTTTAAAAGTGATCCAGCTAAAAAAGGTTCTGATGGTCTGAGGAGAGGAGTAGCAGTCTGTAGTCATCAGGATCTGGTTACGTTTAAGCCACTTTCATACATGTACTGCACCCCTAAAATCTTCTAGACATCGCCTGAAGGAGCTGCACATGAGATCACTTGGACCAGATATTACACAGACTTGTGAACGGAGCAGATAATTGTGCTGAGACTTTACAGCGAGCACATGTGTGCTGATGCGCATCATATCCTACATCCTGAATGCTCTATGTGGGCAAAACACCTTGCCTATCTAGCAGCATTTCCAATAAGTGAGAATGTATCAGACACAGATAATGTCTTGTTGTATGCTACGTGTGTGAAAGGGCAGATTTAGGCAATTTCTGGAGAAATTTGTCATGATTTTAAAGGTAATTTGTGAAAATGACTTATGCTGGGCAAAAATAATTCCTTAACCAAAATAAGGACCTTGTAATGCCAAAATAAGCAATTTAAAGTCTGTTGGAATGTTTTTTAAATAAAGGTTAGGACTGTCCAACTCTTCTGAGCGAAAACAGAGGTGTGGCCTCTGTCCTTCATCAGACATCTTCACCACCTCCTCCATGTTGTTTTCCCTCGCTCGCTGTGTCAGAGATTTGCTGGTTTGTTGGCTTTGGCCGTGGCCATCTAAAGCCCTGACTGGGTTGACCCAGCCTTGGGTGGACTGGCTCACACCTTCCATTAGAGTCAGCTGTCAGATGGTGAGCTGCACCTGCTGTCTAAAGCAGGGTGGGCCCGCCGCCGCTGCCTCCACCGCCCAGCCAACGCTGGAACACATAATTACTACCTCAAAGATGATTATGCTGTTTACTCATGCCCATACGCACAGCAGATGACTGTTTCACACTCACAGCTCGCTCTCCCCTGCCTCGCTGAGAAGGCGTCTCACCTAGTGATGAGGAAATTGTAGCAGCCAACCAACATTCAGACCATCCAACCAACAGGCCTGATGCCAAAGAATGACCCACAGCTATTAGCTGTTCAAACACCCTCCCTCCCTAATAACTTTGACTCAAGTCAATAGTTCCAGTGAGAGCTGGTTTAGTCTACAAGGAGCAGAGAAATCTGATGAAAGTAGTCCCTGAGACTGAAACACAAGATCAAGACAGACAGACAGAAATTAAATGAGCATTAAGCAGAAGCATGTTAAATATGTGTGGTTATAGCTTTACACTGTAGCTGTTCATTTTACTTTGACATACCAAACAAATACTTCTTACCTATAAATGTGTCTCCTCACCATCTAACACAGACGCAGACTCCTCTTTGTGCATAATTCAAACTGAATATTGGAGTTTCTGGAATTGTAAGTAGCATTACATGTGTAGTAGGTTTTCTTGTACTAATTACCAAGCTGCAGGAGATCAGAGTTTATTGTGGACTATTGAATCCTCTCCCTGCTTTTCACTTTATTAAAAAAAGGGGCCAACTTTTAGCCAACTTAGACCAGGCCAGTATTTCAAAATATCTGTGCTGTCATTTTGTAATTTTCGAGATTCATAAGTGACATAAAATCCATCAGTTTTTTTGAGAAGCATTGATTGTTTACAGTAAAAAGGTGATATCAATGTGCATCATTAAGGTGGTATTAAATAGTGGGAGAATGTTGTGGTAACGTCCTGATAACGCTGTCCACGCGTGTGCGCAGACGAGGAAGGAGGAAGTTATTTTCTCGTTAGACTGTAAAACTTGTTAATGCACAGTCTATACAGGGCAACACCCCCCAAGCCCTCTGCTATTTCTCTCCCTCCCCTTTTCCAGGAGTCGTATTGAGCGTCGGGGCTGGGACATTCCTGGTTTGACGACCAGCTTTTGCGGAGCAATTCGACACTGACTTCAAAGATGCGTGTGTGGAAGAGGCAGCGGTAGAGACGGAGACCGAGCACTGCAGAAAGTTACAATAAGACAGACATACAGAGAGAGAGAGAGCGCCAAGTCGGGACTTTTACTGAGAGAAACGGACTCCAGAGAAAACTCTCGACCACCGCCGTAACGCGAGTATCGACCAGGGGGGACTTGGCGCACCTTGGCCCCGACGCCTGCGCTGCTTTTACGGGTTTGAACTCTCTCTCTCCCCTTTTCAACCTCTCCGACTGCTTTCATGTTCCTCAAGCCGTCTCGCACTTTGAGCCCGTTTCTAATGGAGGGCCCGGTACGGATTTGCCAACAGAAGAATGCGTTTTGCTGCTAATTCACCGGACGTCTCGCAGCGTTTGCTCTCCTGCAACAGAGGTAAGACGGCACGGAGGGGAGGCAGAGAGGGGAGTCCCGGGCTGGCTGCCTGACCGGCTGGCTGGCTGGGAGAAGACCTGGGGTAGGATTCAATGTGGAAAGCTCGAGTTTTCAGGGAAAAACAAAAGAGATGCTAGGATAAAATAGGCAGAGAGCTCCACGGTGCCGATTTGATCCATGTTGTCTCGTTTTCTTAACTTTGAATTGTGGCGGAGAGACCAGCGGCGCGGAGTGGCACTGTGGCGAGCGGAGCGTGTGTACGTTTCCATGAATTAAGGGCCATAGCATAGTCATAGCAGACTATAAACCAAGTCTGCTATGACTTTAAATAATTATTGCCCATAATTGTACTGGGTATTGAGTCTGCATTGCTTTGCGTGAAGTATAAGAATATGATGTTATGGTCCTAAAAGAGCTTGAAATAATCTCTTTTAAATTCTAATGCTGAAATCAATTCATAAGACTCCTTTAAGCAATTCTTTTGCCTACAGCCATGGTTTGTATTTTGCTTGAACACGCACAGAAGCACTCAGATTAACGTTGCTATTCAGCAGTTCTCTTTATCCTTTATGTATCCCCTGATTTGAAGCAAAAGAAAATCCAAAATATTTGTTTGGTAAACAGTTCTGGAAGCTCCTTGAAGGCAGCTACGCTCGAGTTAACATCCCACAGTTGAAATCAGATGGCCTGCAGGCTCCATTTCTTCTTTGAAAGATGAAAGAACATTTTTAGAAAAAAGGCAAACATGTCACTCCCCTGACACATTGGATTCACCTTGGTAAAAGCTGAAAATGGACTGTCCACAAGTCATACTTTTATTATAGAGAAGATCCACAGAAAAACTGCTCGAGCTGCCACATTTACCACTGTGCAGAAACATGGTGGCTTGGACTAATATTTGAAGTAGTGTGTTTTTTCCCTACAAAAACAGAGAGCCTTTATTGTTTCAGATGAATCCCCAGAGGGTGTCATAAACGTTGGTTTGGTAAATCCATGTTACCATTGCTCAGACACTTGGCAAGTGCACAAATCACTGTGCAAAGCATGCAAAAGCGACTTTACCTGCCTGGCAGACAGAAGGTGTCATTATTTACTCAACCAGGGGCATGCTTTTGACAAAGAGTAAAAACATTAGAGACAAAGAGAAATCTTTGAGTATACTGCAGAAAAAATATGCAGGTGTGCAAATATATGGTCATGAAACAGCCTTCACGTTGCTCAATTCTCCTCGGTTTCATGTTCCTTCTCACTCTTCTAATCTTACAAATAAAAAAAACAAAACAAAAAAGTAGAAATAAAGACGGCGCTGCTTTGAGCTCAAGACTAGTTGTACAAGTGTGGGCATGAACTAATTTTATTCAGGCTATGCACTTCAGGAACTTAAAGATTTATGTTTTCACAGTCCTATGCTGATGTAACCCAGTTTTCTAAATCATTGTATTTATAAAACTTTCAGCTAAATGTGCATATGAAAATGTAGTATGCACCATAAATATTGTAAGTGATAATATGAGATTAAGACTGTTGCTCTGGGTGGAAACGTGGAAAGCGGCAGAGTAAAAGTGACGGTAACGTGGTGGCTGCTGATGCCAGATTCCTCAACTTCCTCTGTCTGCTGTTCATCCTTATCATCAGAGCTTCACAGCGACTATTGTTACATAGGGGTGACTCTCAGAAAGCTGAACACTTAAAAGTTATCAAGAACAAAGTCTTGAATCCCTCTCGAATGCATGACATCCAGTCAGTGGGACACACATGGCTGCACTCAGATAAAACACTTTCAAGTTCAAACAGTTGCTCACGCATTGTTACGTTGGTGGGGGACAAGAAGACACTTCCGATGGCTTTCAAATCCTTTCAGTGCTTCCCAATATTGGGTGAGCTTTTGACAAGGGCAGAGTGAGATTTGCTCTTTGTGTTCAGGGCGTTGATTTTGAAGGAGAAATCCTTCCTCAGGTTTGAGTTTTTCTTTTTAAAAATAAACAAAAAACTAAGGTGTAACTTTTTCTGCAGCCGCTTTCCCTCGTTGTAACCTAATTGGCTCTATGATCCTTGCATTGCTTTCTACTCAGTCAGTCCTCTTGGACCGACTACTCCTTTATTCAGAAAGCTCAATTGCCAAACGTATCTTTGTTTTATGGCAGCAGAAATATGTGTTTACAGTCTTTATTTGCTCTGTTATTTTTTTTAAAATACCGTCTATATGAGGCTCTCTTTTGTGTCCAAACTATATTGCTGTATGGTATAGTACAAGTTCCTGATTTTAAACTTTCCAGAATGACTTTAATGTATTTAGTACAATTGACTGTGTTTATCTATAGTAGCTTTGTATTGGGAATGTGACTGAATTGGAGGACAGAGCCTCAGACCCTTTTTTGTGTGTGTGTGTGTGTGTGTGTTTGTTTTCCCTGCATGTATTTAGGGAAATTAATAAACCATTAGTGGCTCGGCGCTTATCAGACAGACCTGAACAAAGCACAACGATGCCATTAAGCGAGTTGGAATAATGTTTGAGCCATTAGGGTGCTCGTTAATGATAAACACATGTTGCTGTAGGAGAACTATGTTAAGTGGGCAATTTGGACATAAGCACGTGTAATGATACCAGCTCCGGCACTTATAATGGCTCTCTTGATTTTTCTGATGCAGTACTATATTCTCACAACCACTTGCACACCAGCAATGACAAATGACTGCTGAATGTGGTTTTGTTAATGATTAAACCAAAAAGTAAAGTCAAATATACAGTGAAATCTTGCAGTTCCTGAGATTATAAAACATTTTTAATACTCATATGATTAATTAATAAGTTGACTGACAATTAAAGTCATTAAAGAAAATGTAAAAAAAAAATCTAATATCCTGAGATGCTTTTTTCCCCTCTTACTTCAGACTCTGGGAAAGTCCAGTGGCCCTTCTCATCATTTTCTCACCATTTTTAAAGTAATTCTGCTGTTAAAACTAATTGTGAATAAGCAGTTTACTTGTAGATTTGTAGATGAAGGTTTGTCTGAGGTGAGTGTGGAGGAAGAGGGAGACTCGAGTATATTTTGGCCATCTCCCACATTCTCCCCTTTTCTAAGCCGAACAGATTTGAGGCCTGTCAGTAAACCTCAGTTCTGGCTCTAAAGTGAATGGAAGTGAGTTTAAAACCTAAATCACAATGTGGCTTGCTTGTTTATTTGGTTTCGCGCTCTGATCTGTCGTATTATTGCACCATTGGATTCAACCTTTGGCTGAGAAGAATGTTATGAGAGTCATAAAGCAGGAGAAAATTTAGTTTTTGGAGTGGTGACGTTAGTTTTCATCTCCTTCACAATATTTTGACTGCTGGAATTAAGACTCATTCATTTTCTAAATCTCTGATTACTAATCCATTTCAGCTTCTTAGTAATAATAATGTAGAATTTATGAAACTGTTTTATGGTTGACGTTAAAACGTACAAGTAACTATTCCCAAACCAAAACCTGGCTTGTTTTAAACTCTTGACATATAGCCCTCTTTTACTCTCATTGCTCAGGGATTGAGTCATACTGCAGCATTTTTACCATTTTCTATTGCTGCCCTTTACTCTGAGAGCTTCAGCTCCCATTCGTCAAGGGTAGAGTCAGACCTCAGGCCCCATTAGATGGACAGAGGGGAGTTGTGGGCAGCATGCCAAAGAGCCCCCATGTTCAAGGAGCCAAGGGGGGTGCTGATTGACAACACCCAGCAGCCATGGGCAGGGGGTCGCTGGGAAAGATGGGCAGGTCAGAGTAAGAGTTTGAGCTCTTGTGACTGCTGGGTTGGTGAGAGCGCCCTGCAGCTGCGGTGCTAACAAAAAAGGCTTTACTTTCCAACTTCAGTTTCCCTCTGTAAATATATTCTGTGGGCTGGCTGTGAGCGGAACTGGGTTGGAATTGAGGTAGCTGTAAGGTGTCGCTTGTGTTTATGTGAAGCAGACATAAGTAGTGCTTCTTATCTCCTATGAGCTCACACTGTCATTATTTTAACTACGCTACGCACATTTCTCTCTGCGGGACCCCCACCTCCCCCACCCCTCCCTATTTCTTCTATTCCCCCGACTCTGACAGATGATCCAAACACAGCAGCACAGACTCGCCGTACTACGCAAACTTGTTTCTCCTGTAGGTTACAGATGAGCTGCGTGCTTCCTCTGGTACGACTCTTCCGAAATGTCAAAGGTGACCTGACTGTAACTCAACGTATACACCAGCTCTCAACAGATCACCATATTGAGTTTCTAAAAATTCAGAACCTTGAAGGACCTGAAACTGGATAACGACTTTCAGGAGATTTGAGAAATAAAATGAGAAACATCAGGGCGTAATTGTTAAGACAAACAAACAGTTTTTGGAGCAGCAGAAACAGATGTTCCAGCCAGCCACTGAAATGCAGCGGAATGAGGAGATAGGCAGGGTGAAGAGGTCTGCTTGTTCTCTGAAAAATGTTTGCATACTGTTAATGTAATGGAAATACAGGCCTTAGCTAAATATATATGTGTCCATGCTTTCAATATGATAAGGGAATGTAAGCCAATACCACACACGTAGCGCTTTAAAGCACAAACGCAGCGTCCAGGCGGCCGCGTAGATTCTGAGAATACCCCAAGGGCAGGTTGTGCGACACAGTGGGATGCACTTTTTACCACAGGAAAATATAGTTGGGTTAACTTTGATCCATAGCTTGGGGATGTGGGGGTTATATGGAAAGAACAAAAGATGAAAATGGACTAGAATACTTTAATGATCTCGAGCCATGGTTTGAAGTACGTCGCTTTCTCTAGATGCCTTTATTTATGGGCTCATAATCATCTGAGGGAGTGCCTCTTGGCTTGTGCAGCTACAGTACATGTGTCTTTAGCATGATGCAGAGCACCACATGCATGACAGAGAACAAAATTTTCCCCGGGAAGGAAGGCCTTACGTGGCATTTGCGCGTGCAGATACCCGATGAAAGCCATCGTCCTGTGTTGTTAATCAGCCCCAGAGAAGAATTC